GTAGACTTACATATTGCTTACAAGTCCTTTTTTTTAAGATTTGCGTGAATTACTTTAGTTGAATCTTGTAAAATGTGCTGTCAGAAGTGGGATTTGAACCCACGCCTCCATTCGGAGACCAGAAACCTCAACAAGTGAGAAGGTTTAACCTTGAGTCTGGCGCCTTAGACCACTCGGCCATTCTGACAATGGTAAACATCAAGAATCGATCTCTGGTAGCGCTGCATCAATAATCTGGGGGCCAGGGCCCATGGAGAGGATATTTTCTAAAGAAACGTTTAAAGTAAAATAATTTTTGTGGTAAAGTTAGCAGTATAATTTTTGTAATTGAAATCTTATAGAATTCTAATTCAATCGTCAATCAAAAGGGAAGTTGAGTTAACTGAAATAACACAAAGTATAGAAAACTAAAGCAAGAGACCCACTCGTACTATAGTAAAGGACTTTGGATGTGTAGGCCATAAACAATAAATGCGCTAGATAAATGCACAATAAATTATATACAATGGTTAATTGAAAGTTTAAATAATTAGTCTATTTTTAGGGTCATGTTATTTATTTATTTATTTATTTATTTATTTATTTATTTATTTATTTATTTATTTATTTATTTATTTGTTTGTTTGTTTGTTTATGTATCTATTTGTTTGTTTGTGTATCTTTTTGTTTGTTTGTTTTATTTTATTTTCCCGCCAAAATACTATGGGACCATACATTTATTTTTGGCTAATTTTTAAAAGAGTCAGGGACACCACTTTGAAATTTGTTATTTACAATGAGGAAAATGGGAATAAATATTTTATAATTTTGTCATTTCATTGGGTTTTGTTTTAGATATAAATACTCTCAATTTGCATGCAAGTAGACTTACATATTGCTTTAAAGTCTTTTTTTTTAGATTTACATAAATTACTTCAGTTGAATCTTGTAAAATGTGCTGTCAGAAGTGGGATTTGAACCCACGCCTCCATTCGGAGACCAGAAGCCTCATCAAGTGAGAAGGTTTAACCTTGAGTCTGGCACCTTAGACCACTCGGCCATCCTGACACTACTGTGGAAAAGCAATCATTCTCTCGTAGCGATGCATCAACAATCCAGGGGCCAGGTCCCATGTAGAGGATATTTTCTAAAGAGACTTTCAGAGTAACAGACTTTTTGTGGTAAAATTAGCAGAATATTTTTTTTTTATAAAAATCTTATAGAATTATAATTTAATCATCAATCAAAAGGCAAATTGAGTTAACTAAAATAAATAAAAGTATACAAAATGTAAGCAACAGAACCCATCATACTATTGTAAAGCACTTTGTATTTATTTATTTATTTATTTATTTATTTATTTATTTATTTATTTATTTATTTATTTATTTATTTATTTATTTATTTATTTATTTGTTTGTTTGTTTGTTTATTTTTTATACATTTATTTTTATTTGTTTGTTTGTTTGTGTATCTATTTGTTTGTTTGCTTTATTTTATTTTATTTCCCCCCCAAAATACTATGGGACCATACATTTATTTTTGGCTCATTTAAAAAGGGTCAGGGACACCACTTTGAAATTTGTTATTTACAAAAAGGGAAATGGCAATAAATATTTTATAATATTGTCAGTTCATTGGGATTTGTTTCATATTTATAAACACTGCCTATTTGCTTGAAACATTTACAAGTAGACTTACATATTGCTTACAAGTCCTTTTTTTTAAGATTTGCGTGAATTACTTTAGTTGAATCTTGTAAAATGTGCTGTCAGAAGTGGGATTTGAACCCACGCCTCCATTCGGAGACCAGAAACCTCAACAAGTGAGAAGGTTTAACCTTGAGTCTGGCGCCTTAGACCACTCGGCCATTCTGACAATGGTAAACATCAAGAATCGATCTCTGGTAGCGCTGCATCAATAATCTGGGGGCCAGGGCCCATGGAGAGGATATTTTCTAAAGAAACGTTTAAAGTAAAATAATTTTTGTGGTAAAGTTAGCAGTATAATTTTTGTAATTGAAATCTTATAGAATTCTAATTCAATCGTCAATCAAAAGGGAAGTTGAGTTAACTGAAATAACACAAAGTATAGAAAACTAAAGCAAGAGACCCACTCGTACTATAGTGAAGGACTTTGGATGTGTAGGCCATAAACAATAAATGCGCTAGATAAATGCAAAATAAATTATATACAATGGTTAATTGAAAGTTTAAATAATTAGTCTATTTTTAGGGTCATGTTATTTATTTATTTATTTATTTATTTATTTATTTATTTATTTATTTGTTTGTTTGTTTGTTTATGTATCTATTTGTTTGTTTGTGTATCTTTTTGTTTGTTTGTTTTATTTTATTTTCCCGCCAAAATACTATGGGACCATACATTTATTTTTGGCTAATTTTTAAAAGAGTCAGGGACACCACTTTGAAATTTGTTATTTACAATGAGGAAAATGGGAATAAATATTTTATAATTTTGTCATTTCATTGGGTTTTGTTTTAGATATAAATACTCTCAATTTGCATGCAAGTAGACTTACATATTGCTTAAAAGTCTTTTTTTTTTAGATTTACATAAATTACTTCAGTTGAATCTTGTAAAATGTGCTGTCAGAAGTGGGATTTGAACCCACGCCTCCATTCGGAGACCAGAAGCCTCATCAAGTGAGAAGGTTTAACCTTGAGTCTGGCGCCTCAGACCACTCGGCCATCCTGACACTACTGTGGAAAAGCAATCATTCTCTCGTAGCGATGCATCAACAATCCAGGGGCCAGGTCCCATGTAGAGGATATTTTCTAAAGAGACTTTCAGAGTAACAGACTTTTTGTGGTAAAATTAGCAGAATATTTTTTTTTTATAAAAATCTTATAGAATTATAATTTAATCATCAATCAAAAGGCAAATTGAGTTAACTAAAATAAATAAAAGTATACAAAATGTAAGCAACAGAACCCATCATACTATTGTAAAGCACTTTGTATTTATTTATTTATTTATTTATTTATTTATTTATTTATTTATTTATTTATTTGTTTGTTTGTTTGTTTGTTTATTTTTTATACATTTATTTTTATTTGTTTGTTTGTTTGTGTATCTATTTGTTTGTTTGCTTTATTTTATTTTATTTCCCCCCCAAAATACTATGGGACCATACATTTATTTTTGGCTCATTTAAAAAGGGTCAGGGACACCACTTTGAAATTTGTTATTTACAAAAAGGGAAATGGCAATAAATATTTTATACTATTGTCAGTTCATTGGGATTTGTTTCATATTTATAAACACTGCCTATTTGCTTGAAACATTTACAAGTAGACTTACATATTGCTTACAAGTCCTTTTTTTTAAGATTTGCGTGAATTACTTTAGTTGAATCTTGTAAAATGTGCTGTCAGAAGTGGGATTTGAACCCACGCCCTCCATTCGGAGACCAGAAACCTCAACAAGTGAGAAGGTTTAACCTTGAGTCTGGCGCCTTAGACCACTCGGCCATTCTGACAATGGTAAACATCAAGAATCGATCTCTGGTAGCGCTGCATCAATAATCTGGGGGCCAGGGCCCATGGAGAGGATATTTTCTAAAGAAACGTTTAAAGTAAAATAATTTTTGTGGTAAAGTTAGCAGTATAATTTTTGTAATTGAAATCTTATAGAATTCTAATTCAATCGTCAATCAAAAGGGAAGTTGAGTTAACTGAAATAACACAAAGTATAGAAAACTAAAGCAAGAGACCCACTCGTACTATAGTGAAGGACTTTGGATGTGTAGGCCATAAACAATAAATGCGCTAGATAAATGCAAAATAAATTATATACAATGGTTAATTGAAAGTTTAAATAATTAGTCTATTTTTAGAGTCATGTTATTTATTTATTTATTTATTTATTTATTTATTTGTTTGTTTGTTTGTTTATGTATCTATTTGTTTGTTTGTGTATCTTTTTGTTTGTTTGTTTTATTTTATTTTCCCGCCAAAATACTATGGGACCATACATTTATTTTTGGCTAATTTTTAAAAGAGTCAGGGACACCACTTTGAAATTTGTTATTTACAATAAGGAAAATGGGAATAAAAAACGTATAATTTTGTCATTTCATTGGGTTTTGTTTTAGATATAAATACTCTCAATTTGCATGCAAGTAGACTTACATATTGCTTAAAAGTCATTTTTTTTAGATTTACATAAATTACTTCAGTTGAATCTTGTAAAATGTGCTGTCAGAAGTGGGATTTGAACCCACGCCTCCATTCGGAGACCAGAAGCCTCATCAAGTGAGAAGGTTTAACCTTGAGTCTGGCGCCTTAGACCACTCGCCCATCCTGACACTACTGTGGAGTAGCAATCATTCTCTCGTAGCGATGCATCAACAATCCAGGGGCCAGGTCCCATGTAGAGGATATTTTCTAAAGAGCCTTTCAGAGTAACAGACTTTTTGTGGTAAAGTTAGCAGAATATTTTTTTTTATAAAAATCTTATAGAATTATAATTTAATCATCAATCAAAAGGCAAATTGAGTTAACTAAAATAAATAAAAGTATACAAAATGTAAGCAACAGAACCCATCATACTATTGTAAAGCACTTTGTATTTATTTATTTATTTATTTATTTATTTATTTATTTATTTATTTATTTATTTATTTATTTGTTTACTTATTTATTTGTTTGTTTGTTTATTTATTTATTTATTATTATCATTATAATTTTTTTGTATGTTCGTGTATCTTTTTGTTTGTTTGTTTTATTAAGTTTTATTTTCCACCAAAATACTATGGGACCATACATTTATTTTTGGCTCATTTAAAAAGGGTCAGGGGCACCACTTTGAAATTTGTTATTTACAAAAAGGGAAATGGCAATAAATATTTTATAATATTGTCAGTTCATTGGGATTTGTTTTAGATTTATAAACACTGCCTATTTGCATGAAACATTTGCAAGTAGATTTACATATTGCTTACAAGTCCTTTTTTTAGATTTACATGAATTACTTTAGTTGAATCTTGTAAAATGATTTGTCAGAAGTGGGATTTGAACCCACGCCTCCATTCGGTGTGCAGAAGCCTCAACAAGTGAGAATGTTTAACCTTGAGTCTGGCGCCTTAGACCACTCGGCCATTCTGACAATGGTAAACATCAAGAATCGATCTCTGGTAGCGCTGCATCAATAATCTGGGGGCCAGGGCCCATGGAGAGGATATTTTCTAAAGAAACGTTTAAAGTAAAATAATTTTTGTGGTAAAGTTAGCAGTATAATTTTTGTAATTGAAATCTTATAGAATTATAATTCAATCGTCAATCAAAAGGGAAGTTGAGTTAACTGAAATAATGCAAAGTATAGAAAACTACAGCAAGAGACCCACTCGTACTATAGTGAAGGACTTTGGATGTTTAGGCCATACACAATAAATTTGCTAGATAAATGCAAAATAAATTATATACAATGGTTAATTGAAAGTTTAAATAATTAGTCTATTTTTAGGGTCATGTTATTTATTTATTTATTTATTCATTTATTTTCTTGTCGGCTTAGTCCCTTTATTAATCCGGGGTTGCCACAGCAGAGTGAACCACCAACTTATCCAGCAAGTTTTTACGCAGCGGATGCCCTTCCAGCCACAACCCATCTCTGGGAAACATCCACACTCACATTCACACACTACGGACAATTTAGCCTACCCAATTCACCTGTACCGCATGGCTTTGGACTGTGGGGGAAACCAGAGCACCCGGAGGAAACCCACACGAAGGCAGGGAGAACATGCAAACTCCACACAGAAACGCCAACTGAGCCGAGGTTCAAAGCAACGACCTTCTCACTGTGAGGCGACAGCACTACCTACTGCACCACTGCCTCTCCTTTATTTATTTATTTATTTATTTGTTTGTTTGTTTATGTATCTATTTGTTTGTTTATGTATCTATTTGTTTGTTTGTTTCATTTTATTTTATTTTTCCGCCAAAATACTATGGGACCATACATTTATTTTTGGCTAATTTTTAAAAGAGTCAGGGATACCACTTTGAAATTTGTTATTTACAATGAGGAAAATGGGAATAAAGATGTTATAATTTTGTCATTTCATTGGGTTTTGTTTTAGATATAAAAACTCTCAATTTGCATGCAAGTAGACTTACATATTGCTTAAAAGTCCTTTTTTTTTAAAGATTTGCATGAATTACTTTAGTTGAATCTTGTAAAATGTGCTGTCAGAAGTGGGATTTGAACCCACGCCTCCAGTCGGAGACCAGAAGCCTCATCAAGTGAGAAAGTTTAACCTTGAGTCTGGCGCCTTAGACCACTCGGCCAATGACACTACTACCTGTCTCCTAACAGTTTTTTGTTTACTTTTCAAATTGGTCAGATGTATCCTTTTGCCAACTTTAAACTAATTGAAATTATGCAAGGTCATTTTTCTATAAATACAGGTCCTTTTAAAATATTATCTGTTAATCATCAATCGTATTTATAAACGACCAACACTACATGATAAGCACATCCTCTGCCTGGACGTTTTTGCTGCAATATCTCCAATAGCCCACGAGATGGAGCAGCAGCAATGTTCTCCTTAATTTGGATTTGGTTTACCCCCACTTTTGTAATGTATTATAAATGTGTGCCTCTGGACTGAAGTAGATCAGATCTCCAGTAGCAGAGAAACATGAGTTGATAAAGATCAAACAGGATTTGTGAGAGGGCATTCCTGCCAGCCAACGTGGGGATTAATTGTTTCAATCAAGGTAATGGCTGCATACCCAGTGTTTAAACATATGCAATGCTATTGGCTGAGAACTGAACACAGACCTCAGAAACAGGTCCCTGGCTCAGTATTAGCGATGCATTTTGACCACATTAGGCTTGGTAGCCTTTCAAGAGAACAAATAAATAAATAAACAAATAAATAAATAAATAAATAAATAAATAAATAAATAAATAAATAAATAAATAAATAAATGAAGGGCCTCTTTCCACCACTTACAAGTTATTTTACTTGCAAACTCTATTATGTGATTTTGGTAAACTGATTTTTTAAATCTGACATGGTTTTTACAGAACTGTTTACTTCACCTCACCCTACCCCCTCTCATCCCCTATTTTGCTCTACTGTTTATCATCTATATAATTTCTACTGTAACATGTTGCTTAGTGTGATTTGTATTGTAAGGATATATTTACATGTTTGCACTGAGTAGTGAGATGCACTTAATCTCATCGCACATGTGTAAAATGCACATTGTATATGTGTACAGTGACAATAAAGGGCATTCTATTCTATTCCATATTCTATTTATTATTTCATAAACAATGTTAGGTAAACATAATAATAATGTTTTTGCACTATATTCACATAAAAAGGGTGTCCTCATTACAATATTTACAGTAATGATGCTTAAATATTAATCAAAATAATATCCAATAAAATTTTAATAGGGTACTACTACTACTACTACTACTACTACTACTACTACTACTACTACTACTAATAATAATAATCATCATCATCATAATGGGATGACACGGTGGCTCAGTGGTTAGCACTGTTACCTCACAGCAAGAAGGTCACTGATTCAAGTCCTGGCTGGGTCTGTTGGCATTTCTGTGTGGAGTTTGTATGTTCTCCCTATGTTGGCGTGTGTTTCCTCCCGATGCCCTGGTTTCCCCCACACTCCAAAGACATGCACTATTGGTGAATTGAATAAACTAAATTTGCCATAGTGTATGAGTGTGTATGGGTGTTTTCCATTACTAGGTTGCAGCTGAAAGGGCATCCGCTTTGCTGGATAAGTTGTTGGTTCATTCCGATGTGGTGACCCCTGATGAATAAAGGGACTAAGCTGAAGGAAAATGAATAAATAAATTAACAATAATAACAAAAATAATAGTAGTAGTAGTAGTAGTAGTAGTAGTAATAATAATAATAATAATAATAATAATAATAATAATAAAATATAGCATAAGTCCTTAATGGAAGTAATTAAACTCTAACAAAACACTTTGATACTGATATGTCAAACGAAATTTTAATTATTTTTATTCCTTAATTATTAACACAATAAAATTGTTTGTGGATAAAATCATCAATATGCTAGAAAATACTTTTATAAGTAAGAAATAATAATAAACATTCTAGCCGAAACTCAACAATAATTCTTTTATATATAATTAGTATTTTTCGCAATATTGTTGTATGAAAAGTATGCCATATTAATGTATAAATTGAAATATAAGGACATTTGATTTTTGCACAAACATTAGCTACAGATATGCTTTAATTTAGAAATAAAAATAGGTTGAGTATGGGCCATTTAATTAATATAAATAACAGCAATTCTAACAGACATGCTAACTACCTTCCTGTGTTATCGTCATTGTATTTTCGCATTTCTTTCTATATTTAGGCTATTGTATTATAGTAAAAAATACACAAATTATATAAAATACTCGACAATTTTGTATTATATAAAAACTACTTATATAAAATAATACAAATTGATAATGTAATAACATTTATTTTTCATGATAACACGAGAACAGTTCATATTCAGCTTAAAACCTTACAGTACTTGTTTCTTGTCAATAATATGTGCATTAAATGTGTCGCGATCAAAGCCATTCGGTCGCAGCCCGGCAGATGCCGTCATGACGCAGGGCTTTCAGCGCAATGACGCGACGTTACGTTCCACCAATCAGCGGCCGTTTTCCGAAGCCCAGGAAAGGAGCAGATGATATGGCAGCTTTGTGAGCGGCCAGGTGGAACTCGCTTTTGTTTAATCGGGCTGACAGCGGAACATGAGTACACTCTAACCCGCAAGCCGCAGCGGGGGATCCGAAGATGATATACCTGATATTACTGTCTGCCTTCTCCGGGGCCGTCGTCACGCTCCTCCTGCAGCTCTTACTGCTGTACCGGAGGAGCCCCGAGCCTGTCGCCAGAACAGTGCAATATGTCAAAGTAGTTCCTGATCCTGCGCTCAAGGATTACTTTAGCAGCCAGCAAGCCGATTCAGCGCCGCAACAACCGGACAGCCCGTCGCCAGTCTCCAAACAACCGGAGGCCGCTTCTCCCAAGCAACAAGAGACCCCTGTCCCCGGCAGCAGCCCCAAACAGCAGCCATCCTCGCCGCCACCGCCTTCCCTGGGCGACCCTCAGCACAGCTCCAAAGCCGAGACATGCGACTTCCTCAATGCCATCATTCTGTTTTTATTCCGAGAGCTCCGAGACACGCCGGTCGTCCGGCACTGGATCACCAAAAAGATCAAGGTAGAGTTTGAGGAGCTCCTCCAGACCAAGACTGCCGGGCGCCTGCTGGAGGGGCTCAGTCTGCGGGATGTTTCCCTGGGCAACTCGGTGCCCGTTTTCAAAACAGCCAGACTAATGAAACCCGTGGCTGTCAACGAAGACAACATGCCGGAGGAGCTGAATTTCGAGGTTGACTTGGAATATAACGGCGGCTTTCATCTGGCCATCGACGTCGATCTGGTTTTCGGTAAATCGGCTTATCTGTTCGTCAAGATGACCCGGGTCGCAGGCCGCCTGAAGCTGCAGTTCACCCGCATGCCTTTCACGCACTGGTCCTTCTCGTTCCTGGAGGACCCGTTGATAGACTTCGAGGTGAAGTCTCAGTTTGAGGGTCGTCCTCTGCCTCAGCTCACCTCCATCATAGTCAACCAGCTCAAGAGAGTTATCAAGAGGAAGCACACCTTACCAAACTACAAAATAAGGTAATGTCTTGCTTCAGTAACTTTTGGCTTAACGCTGAATTTTTTTATTAAGTTTTTTTCTGGGATCTCAGGCGTGGAATGAATATGGTCTTGTGGGTCAATCATTGTACTTGATCCTAAAAATCATTCCTGAATTAAGGTTTATTTTGTGGCTGTGAGGTGTGTGTGTAAGAGAGACAGCATTGATGACTAGTGTTATTATGTTTAATGGTTTGTGATTACTGAAATGTCAAACCAATTTCTAAATATTATTTCCTGTTTTTGGCAAGTAGTTAGATAAAAGATTTGGGATATGCACATATTAGCATTGGCTGATAAATACTAATTTTTTTTTTATTTTGGATTATGAAAAAGGATTAAATTATGGATTTGATCCACTTAATATGTGAAATATTGTAGTTGTAGTTAGCTTCAATAGGATTTTCCATATCGGTGCATCCATGAAATATGCAATATACTGTAAATAAATGTTTTAGAAAGCAGAATGAACAATAACTTTAGTACTATAAAGTAACAATAAAAACAGTAATCTTACCATTAGTAGTATTATGGTTCCAGTACAGACACACATATACAAAAACTAGACCAAAGGTGTCAAATCCAGTTCTTGGAGGGCTGTAGCTCTGCACAGATTAGTTCCAATCCTAATTAAACTCACCTGATCAAACTAATTGAGTCCTTCAGTTATGTTTGAAACCTATAGTGTGCTGGAGCAGAAACTTGAAACTAAGCTGTGCAGAGTTGCGGCCCTTCAGGAACTGGATTTGACACCTGTGAATTTATTAGAAAAACTCAAAATATTCACTCCCATACATAGATGCACTTTTATTGTTTCTGTTGTTACACACAGTTTTACATTTAAAATCACTGAAATCAATTCATAATGAAGCTCAAAAGCGGTTCCCCTTCTGCACAAACTTCATAATGTGGAACAATTTTAAGTCATTTAGTAAATTTTGCATTTAGTAAAATGCAAAATATCACTTCTTTAAGCCATAATGTAAAACAAATAACCTGTGGAAACAATTTAAAAGTAGCTGTTATTATTATTATATATATATATATAGCAGAAAACACTGTTATTATAATTCGTAATAATAACAATTTTTTATTATGGTTTTGTGATTTGTTTATTTGTCTTAATATTAGGCATGGGCCGGTAAAAGATTCTAATGTTATGATAACCTTTGATAGAAATATCACTTTTTCACGGTATCGTGATTACTGCTCTAAAAATATTATTTTTAAATCTGAATAAAAAGCAACAACTCTTTTTTGCTTTAGATACAATGGCTCCATACAAAATCACATATAGTACACTAAAAACAGTATGCGAGCTGAGTTGTATGTATTAATTCACAGAATTCAAAAACAGTATATGAGAAATACCCATATGACTTCCGGTGAGATTATAAAGTGTGTATCCGATGGATGCTATGCTTTCCCATGATGCACCATGAGAGAATTCATGAATTGGAGTGAAGCGGGTATGTCATGTGATAATAACAAAATGTCATCTGATTCTGTACTACGTCCTAGCTCCATTCATACTAGTCCCATTCCTACTGTATAGAACATACTTTTTTTGAACCGTAAACATTTCAGCAGGCACAGGACGTCAACATGACATCAGATTGATGTTGTGGGGACGTTGCATTTTGCTTGGAATTAAAAATCAGGTTGACATCAGAACCCAACACCCAACCTAATGTCGATCAGACATATGTTTTGGTTCCTATACTTGAAGAATAAACGTCAGTGTTTGATGTCAATATGACGTTGGTTTAAGATGTTGGCTCGACGTTGGATTTTGATCACTTTCCAACACAACATAAAATCAACCTCTATATTGGATGTCAAATTAATGTTGTCCTTAGATGCTGGCGAGACATTGAATTTTAGTCATCTGATTTTACGACCTACATCTAACCTAATATCAACGTCATATGATGTTGTGTGCCTGCTGGGATGTTAGGCTAAAAAATCTAAATATCTAAGTGAATCAATCATTCTGCTATCATCTTTTGTTTCAAAAACACAGATTTGTAAATAAATGTAAATTAAAAAAAATCATAAGTTACCTTAGGAAGGGTATAGCAGAAATTTTGAAGGTTTTAAAACCTTGATTTTTCCAAACCACGCTATACCTTGAAAACGGTTATCAACCCATGTCTAGTACCTACAGAGTAGTAGGCGATTTTAGCCAATATATATTGTTTTCAGAAACACTTAAACTATTTTGGAACCGTAAACATGTCAGACTAAACAATTAAAGCAAATCGTTGACTTCTGCTGTCTTCTTTGGTTTCAAAAACACTGATTTCTTTACAATTTAAAATTAAATCTTTTAATATCTTTTCAGCTGGTTTGTCTTTTGCTTGATCCCACACATTTCCCTTTGTTTTTTTTTTTCTAACTATCTGTTAAAGTAGTTCTTCAATTTTAAAACAATATAAACAGCACATTAAATAAGTTACCAGCATTCTGTCTTTTTAGTTCCTTCCCAAATTGGTAGACCTATCATTAAAGACCCTATTAAGTTGAGAGTGTAATTATCGGCAAAATATACATTTCAAGCTATTAAGTGAAACTTGCTTGGACTGCACAGAAAGAATGTTAAGAGGTTGTGAAACTGGTAGTGTGTGTCTGACTGGGATTGTGAAAAGCGAATAGACTGAAGTGTCGTAGCATGGCAGTAAGAGACTTCTGACTTGATTGTTGGATCATGTGACAAGAACATGTTCATTTTTGTTTATTTTCTCTGAGTGAAACTGGAAATGGAGGCCACTTTCCCTCTTCGCTCACGAGTCACTTTACTGCGCTCTTATTCTTGACCTCCTAAAAAGTGAAAACAACTCTTGTAGCTTGTGTTACTTCCTGTTTTTAGCTACGAAAAATATAAAGTCTGTGACTAAGTCATTCAACCGAGCTGTGGATTGATTGCTTGCAGGATTCATCCACCTACACCTCACTGCTCTCTATTACTCAGCATTACTTGGCACACCTAAAACAGTCGGTTGCCAATAAACATTAAGATGTCTCAGCAAGTGTGTGCGGTTTCATTGGATTTCTCAGCTGTCGTAGGTTCTTTAGGTTCAACATTGTCTTTGTAAGTCAGCGTGTGCACAAATGCTCTGATGATCAGTCGTTTTTGGCTCATCATTCAACTTGCTCGTCTTTCTGTTGATACGCTGCGTCAGTCAATATGAACATAATGTGCAAATCACAAAGTCAAACACAACACTGATTTTTATCCATTTAGTTAATTGTAGTGTCCTGGGAAGACAAAAACGCCTTGATGAATTGCATCGTAATCTTTATCGATTTGAATGGTGCGTTTGAACTTTGACCCCACACAGCTAGGATTTTTGCTTGTAAATTAAATCACTGCACTCTCTGTTAAACGTCACACTTAAATATTGATTATGTAGTGGTCAGTAGTTATAGTCTTAATATAAGAGCTTGATATGTGATAAACGTGAACTTAAGACATCAGAGGCTGATTAACATGCACAAGTAGATGGAGACTTATTCCTCATTACACCTGGGCATCTCGTTTGTCGATTTTGGACCACTTTCCTGATTTCTGTGAAGAAGATCTGTATTGATCTTTTAATTTAATATTGTAAAAAAAATTGCTTTAATTGTGTAAGAGAAAAGAGACAATGAAAAACAACACAGAGAACAGTTGGCTTTATGTCTGCTCTGATTGCCAGAAATCTAGACCAAGCACTGTGGGTAGTGGGTGATACTAAATAACTATATATACATTCATTTTTTGGAAGCTGCAAATTGATATATAGACAAAATACAATACAAAATCTTATATTAATATGATTTTAATATTTTAAACTTGATTACAGAAACAAAATGCAATCTACGGCTGCTACTAACAATTATATGTATTCTTGTAACCCTTGCACCCTATCACTTTAAATATATAGCCTAGTTCTCTTATTTAACATACCCAAAATAGATAACAGTTCTTTAGATTAAATCTTTACTTCAGCTTGGAACATTTATTCAGGGATTTGCACTGCATTACAGATTGCAGCGTCATTACACACAGTAAAAACTCACAATAAATCTGTAAAATAATGTACCTCTATAAATAGTAGACACAAATGTATTGGAACATACACTCTCTCGCATTTCCAATTTGTAGGTCAATTGATGTTGAATTAGAAGCACACAAAATGTGCAAAGCGGTGGAT